AGTGAAGTGTGAAAATAGTGGTATAAATATAGGAACATTTTCATGCCTTATTTTCATGGAATAAGGGAGAGAGTATGAGCACTTGAGTGGAGTATGCAAAGTGTGCGACCCGCATACGTGTGCATGTGCGAGGGTGCTTGATGGTGCATATTGCACGCTCGCATTAGTGAGGTGCCCTTTACAGATGTATAGGTCAGACTTGGGGCTTGATCCATTTTTACTTGACGAGACTCATGCCCACACGTGCAAGAGTGGGTGTGAGCATGGCGTGTGTGATCCAATGACTAGGACACTAGCCATTCATGTTGAGGGGTATGCTCATGCCTATCCAGTGATATAACGATTAACAATTGTTGGATGATAACGGTTGGAAGCCCAACAATCACTTGTCTCGTAGACAATTACATTAACAACCACTATTCACTCTTTATATGGGTTTTTTTTCCTCTTCTTGTGAACCAACTTTTTACCCATTCGAATACTCTCTCCTAATATTTTTTTTACTACTTTTATATTTAAAAATACAAAATGAGCCACTTTCTCTCTTAAAATTCAGGCAACTCTGATGCTAAGTAGACTTGTTTATACTGTACAAAATTAGACGAGTATCATTAGTGATTTTCTGTTTATAGATATCCCAATGAATGATTTGCGCATGTTACCTCTTTGCACACTCTTATTTTATAGTAAGGGGTGCAAATTACAGTCTTGAGAGAGCGCATAGCGTGGTTGTAAACATGAAAGTCCTTCTTATTTGTTTCTTTCATTCCTTTATTATTACAAATTTGAACCCTTGTTGCACCCTACTCCAAATTTTCAACAGTTTAAGACTAATTTTTGGGTGAAATAATGAAAGCAAGTGTGAGTTACATGAAAGTTATGAATCAAGACTTTAAGATAGATTCGATGGGACAAATTTGAAAAGGTGACAACAAAAGCTTATGTTTTTGTTGACAACACTTCAGGCGGCTTTGTGATTATTGAAAATACATGGGAGATGCCATCACCATATGAAGGCGAGGACCCCGAATTATCCAAATATTGGAAAAAATGGGTGGACGATGGTTACATATGCAAGGGTCATATTCTCAATACACCTACTGCTCCGATTTATGACATGTATTGTTCAGTGGCATCGGTGATGGAACTTTGGCATTTGTTGGAGACCAACTATTTAACGGAAGAATTAAGTAACCAACGTTTCTTAATTCCTAATTATTTAGAGTTTTAAGTATTCTGATAACAAGCCAATACTCAACCAAGTGTACAAGTTGCAACTTCTTGTAAGTGAACTCAAAGCTTATAGTATTGAACTTCATGAAGCCTTTCAAGTAGAGACATTTATACATAAGTTTCCCTTGGAAAAAATACCAAAAGAAGATGAAAGACAAAAAAGTTGATATTGACTTAGTTAAACTTTAATGATCTCTTCGCATAGAGGAAGAGAGTAGGATTCCAGAAAAGAAGGAAGAAGCGAAGGACTATAATTCCAAAGCAAATCTTGTGGAACAAAAGTCTAAGAATATAGCTCAAAATAATAAAAGGGCATTATCCTCTCATAATCAAAAGGACCTAAGAATAGAAAAATCTAAAAAGAAGAAGGGTGCGTGCTTTGTCTATGGAAAATTCGGTCATTATTTAAGGGAATGTCAACACCAGAAAATACCTCAAAAGCCTCAGAGTCAAATTAGCTTAACCACTGATGAGAAGGTAGTGGCAATGGTCACCGAAGTTGATATGATTGGTAAAGAGGAAGGTTGGTGGGTAGACACTGACACTACCGTTCATGGCACTGACAACCGAAACCTCTTTAAGACATGAACCCGTGGGAGAGGGTAGCTCAGTTCAATTGGGGACTCAAGCACAAACATGCATGGCAAAGGGACAATTGAATTGAAGTTTAATTTCGGAACGACATTGACTTTGAAAAATTTGTAGCATGTATTAGACATGAGAAAAAATTTGTGTGGAGTTATTTGTTGAATAAAGGGGGATTCAAAATGGTCATTGGATCTCACAAGATAATTTTGCTAAAAAAGTGGTATCTTTGTAGGGAAGGGATATTCTTATAATGGAATGTTTAATGATCAACGAAATAAAAATAAATTTTTTTATTTTAGGAGTTCTTTTAAGCATGCGAGATTAGGGCATTTAAATTTTGCTGCAATAGAACCCATGGTTAAGAACCTTTTGGTTTTGAGGGACTTTGGTGAATCATTGTGGTTTTTATATGAATCTAAGGTTTCAATTGATTCGTAGGGTCTCAACAAGAGAATTCCTAACAATTTCCTAACAATTGTATGGTATTTCCTTAAGTAAATCCGTATTACGCACAATTAGATCTTATTTCTAGTTATGACGATGTATCTAATGACAAATGTGAGTGTTATGTGCAAGCAAAAATTACAAAAAAAC